CCTTATCCTGAGCGGTGATAAAAGGCTGCTTTGGCTCAATTATTGACTCTGAAGCCATAGCTGATGAGTTAGAAGCTAGGGCATCATTGCTAACATCAGCATCGACAGACTAAGCAGGCTGGGCTACTTGGTTGGATATAGGATCTTTAAGTTGATTCAATTTAAGAGAAGAAACATAAGGTACTTTTAAAATCGGAACTTCAAGGTTGGATCGACAGGGGCCTGATTGATTGCCCACACCATCTTTAGTGCCTAAAACGTTAGGATCACCACTAGATGATGATACACCCCACTGGCTGATTGTCTGAAGCCAAATTAACACCCTGGCTCTTGCTAAAGTCAATGTTACCCTTTCTCTTCTTCATATCAGGCCCTTGATATGTTTGAGAAGAGGGTATAGGATCACAAGGGGGTGACTTCTCTAATGATAGCAAGCTAGAAGCAACAATTTTCTCTAAGGAATCTTGATGGTTTGTTGTATCTTCTAACTCTTCTTTATCATTGTCAACTGAAATAGGGTTGGAAGGCATGATTTTCTCTAGAGACTTTCGTTTCTTTTCAATATTATGAGCAAGATCCGATATGAAGGAAATCAAAGTGAGTAACAAGATGCAAGAAGCTTGTGCAGGTTAGAGCTAATGCACTTACTGGTTAGAGGGAAATCAGTAGTTTTTTGCTCTAGTTTTGTCTTGAATGCAGATTGTGATCTTGTGCTAGGACTTGACATGGGGATGTTCCTATGCCTGTTACTCCTTGATTTCTGTAAGGAACTTGGGGTCAAAAGGGAGACCATCTTTCTTAATCTAGCCCTATCAAAGTGAGGATGGATTATACTCCTGTGTGAATCATCTATGGCCATAGGCTTATAATTAAACTTTGCGACTATCTTAGATGAACGATAATTTAATGGTGAGTAGTCTTTCCCTTCAATTTGATTGAAGACACATCAGTTTTCTTCTTACCTGAAAAGTAGATTGTGAGTAGAAATGAAAGAAGTAATTGAATTAAACATTAAGAAGGAAAAATATATACCCTTATAGTTGCCCACACTCATAGCAAGGTGTGCTTTGTCATCTTCCACAACATGAGCTTGAAGTGGTCCATGATACCACCATTCAAGATAAAACAAGGAAACCACATCGCTGGACTTTCTAGGTTGCAAGTTAGTTGTAGGATATGTAAGGGAGTCACTCTTCCAGACATCCTCTTGAAATTTTGGCCTAGAGTCCCAAGGAATATTTCATGTGGTGACTAGAGGAAAAACAAGAGATTGACATAGACCAAATTGTTTGGCTACCATTTAAGGATTATAGGCTTCGAAACCAAAGTGTTCTGGTTCTCCTGCAGGCAAATCTCTGGAAGGTAACATAGAACACCGAAATAGGGAATCTTCTTCAAAGGTTGTCCTCATGCCTATTGTCTTAAGCCATTCTAGAGTTGCATCAAAGACCCAAAGACTGTTAGGATCCAGGTTGTCTTTCCGGCTCATAATGTACTAACTAACAGGCAGAGGGTCTAACTCCAATAGATAATGAATATCAAGATTGGGTTCAGGGACTTTTTGGTGATCGAAATAGTTGAAACAAATCTCAGCATATGAGCAACATTCCACCTTTAAAGTATTTTCCCTACAATAAGGTTTAGATGAGTACAATGCACTCTCATCTGCCATCTCTTTCTTGACTTCTTCCACAGTTTTCATCATACACAAAGTGGTGTAGAGATGACCCCAACAAGTGACCAACCACAATGGGCCACCAACATTCTCTAAACTCTGACCTGCAATCAGAGTTTCTCTACATCTAAATAGACATCTGTATAATTGTTTTAATAAAATTGGACCTAGAGCTACAACGGATTTGTTCTGAGCAATGTTCACTGCTTGCAATAACAGTGCAAAAATGTTGCCAGACTTGCACATCATTAAACGAGTAAGGGCAAATAAGATAAAGAGCACCTCTTCCTCCTATGACACCATAGTAGAGTATGATGATGATACAAAATATGAGATATAGGCATTGAAGCTGACCTTGCTACTTTTGGATGTTGCTAATATCTGCTTCAGAAGGTTGTGACTTCTGTTATATAAAGGTCCATCGCCTTCAATCAAGCTGAACACTTTAACCTATTGGCCTTCATCATGATAAGTCGTGTTTTGTGCGTATTTATTAGCTTATTTTTGGTTGGTTTTATTAGCTTAGTCGAGTGTTTTAGTCCATTTTGGTGTAATTTGGTTTAGTTTCGATGATTCGATGCTTTTATGGGTAGTTTCGTTGTTTTTGATGTATTTCAGGATTAACGGAGCTAATTGAGTGAAAATGAAGCAAAACGTTGATGAAATACTTGACAAATATGATACCTGTTCACTATTATGCTCATAACGTTTGATATACAAATGATAATGGAGTGATTCAAATTGCATTGGAAAGTAGACTTGAAGAACTTTCCAAAAATATATTACACGCCTCAAACAGAGCTCTGGATATGAAGTTATGACTGATTTAAGATGAGTGATACGCGCAGCAGGGGAGGCACGTCCGTGCCTGGAAGGCAGAACCTGCAACAATTTTGCTACGTATAGAGGCACTTCTGTGCCTATGGAGAGGCACGTCCGTGCCTCCTGGGATTCTTGTGCGCCAAGGCTTGTCCGATCTTCTTATCTTTTTAGGCTTATATAAATACTTTTTAGCCTTGTTTCCTAGCATTCATAAAGTTTTATTTTATTCTCTAATTCACATTGTTAAGAACTAGTTCTCTCTATTTTATTTCCTTTACTTTTGTAATTCAAGATTCAAGATTTACACTTTCCGCCTTCAGTTTAATTCAAGATTTGGTATTTTCTTTTCATCTCTTATTTCTTAATTATGTTTTCTTTAATTATTTTTGTTATTGTTTATTCCATTATGAGTGAATAGATTTCCTATTCCAAGATCTAGGGTAGCCCAATTATGATTGATGCATGAATTAATTCTTTAAATTCTCTAATGACTTTTGCAATTGCTATGCTAAATTGATCGTTATTATGCCAATACTAGGTTAGACGTAATCTTAGTATTGTGATTATTCCATTGTTTCTATCACAACGAGAGTTGGGTTTAAACAGATTTGAGTAGATCAATTTAGGGTTTGATATTCAACACGAGAGTAGTTGGGTTGATAATTGGGAAGTTAGAGTAATGTGTTTAATGTCTCTAATTTTCATGATACCATGAGTATAGGCTTGATTGTATGTTAGGGAAGCCATTGATACTCGAGAGAGGTCCTTGTTATTTATTAGGGTTCACTTTTCCCCGTTCAATTGGAATCGTATGTTAGGGGTAGAAATATAATTGCATCAAGCGTAATTGTGGTGATACTTGATCTTGGATGTTTTAATTACTTGATTTCTTCATATTCTTTAGTTTATTTTCGAATTTTCCATACATTAGTTCCTTAGTTAATCAATCATTATTGATTCTTGCTTAGTAGGTTTTTGAGTCTAATTAATTATTTTTGAACCTTAGTCTCTTGGGATTCGACCCTTGCTTATCCTGCTACATAGTAGTGGTCAGTTAGGTTATATTTTGTTAGGTACGCGACACACCTATCAAATTTTGGCGCCGTTGCCGGGGACTAACGGTTTCATTGGATTATTTGTGATTCGTTTTTGCTAGGCTTATTTCGTTGCTTCGGCTATTTTCTCTTGTGTTTTTGATACTCTTTCTCTAGTTTTCTTGTTGCATGCCCACACGAAGCTCAGGTTCGGAAGATATAGTACCTTTTGATTCTGAAATCGAAGCAATCGCAAGAAGAAGGGCAGGTAGAAGAAGAATGAGAAATGAAACTAATAGAAACATGGTTGACCAACCCACGAAATCCCTTTTGGAGTACGGTATTCCTGATACGACTACCGGAATCCTTTCTAGCATCGTAAGACCACCTGTGACGGCTCAACACTTCGAGCTCAAGCCACAGTTCATACAGTTCATCTCCAATGATTCATTCGCAGGGCTACCACATGATTGCCCCATAAGTCATATAGACAGCTTTTGGGAGAAATGTGATACTATGAAGTTGAACAGTGTTACAGATGATGCAATCAGGCTACGCCTTTTCCTTTATCACTTCGAGATAGGGCAAAGGAGTGGTTAAGAGATGAAGGCACTGGCTCGTTCGATACATGGGACAAGTTAGTGAAGGCCTTCCTAGTGAAGTTTTTAGGGAATGAGAAGACTGCAAGATTGAGGAATGAGCTACAAACTTTTAAGCAGTCAGATGATGAGTCTCTCTATGAGGCTTGGAGGAGATTTAAAAGATTGCAGAGACAATGCCCTCACCATGGCATTCCAGATTGGATTTTGATGCAAACCTTTTACAATGGCATGACTCATGAGTTTCGTATTTACATAGATGTTGCGTCAGGAGGTTTTCTCTTGACAAAGAACCCCACTGAAGTTAGGGAGCTCATAGAGAAGATGGCGGCTAATGATAACTATCATCCTGCAGGCCGAAACACTGTGAAAAAGGGAGGTAAACTTGATGTTTATGCTTTAAATATGCTAACTAGTTCTGTGCAGGCACTAACAAGCAGGTTTGATAAGTTCCAAGCAGGAACTTCTAACACCCCACAGGAGTTGTGTCAGTTATGTAATGTGCAGGGTCATGTTGCTCCAGATTGCCCACAGATTTTGCAGAATACAGAAGAGATGTCAATTGAGCAAGCTAATGCTTTCTACTCCTCTAACCCAAAGAGACCTTATGACCCTTATTCCAACACCTACAATGAAGGATGGAAACACCATCCTTACTTCTCATACAAAAATTCCCAAGCACAAAAAAACCCTCCACCACCACCTCCACCCAACACCTACAACCAACCACCACCTGGTTTCCAACAGAAAACACTTAATGCCCACTAACCAAGCCTAGAGGTGACATTAGAGAGCTTTATAACCGCAACAAACAGTGCCATCCAACATCAAAATAGCTCTATCCAACAGTTGTAGGCTCAGGGTAAACTTATGGAGAATCAGATAAGTCAATTGGCCAACCAATTTAGCCAAGACCTAAAGACTCCAGGAACCTTCCCGGGCCAGACTGAACAATCTCAAAAAGGCCAAATGAATGTCATCACCCTAAGGAGTGGAAAGCAGTTGGAAGATCCTCCTACCAAGGAGCCATCAAGGGAGGTCATTGGAGAAGTAGGTGCAAGTGAGAAGAAAGTAGAAGATGCTAGGGTCGTGGAAGCATCAAAGGAAGCACCACCAAAGCCACTTGCTCCATATGTGCCTAAGGTTCCTTTTCCTCAAAGGTTAGCACAAGCTAAACTTGAGAAAAAGTTCAGTAAATTCCTCGATATTCTTAAAAAGCTTCATATTAATATTCCATTCCTAGATGCCATATCTGAGATGCCTTCTTATGCAAATTTTTTAAAAGATATGCTATCTAACAAGAGGAAATTAGAAGAGATTACTACAGTTGCTTTGAATGCAGAGTGCAGTGCTATTTTGCAGAACACTCTCCCTAAGAAATTAGGAGATCCAGGTAGCTATTCAATACCAGTGAAGCTTGGAGATATTGAGATCAATAGGGCACTATGCGATCTAGGTGCAAGTGTGAGCCTTATACCGCTGTCCATATCCAAGAAGCTATAGATGAGTGAGCTTAAACCTACACGAATATCTCTACAACTTGCAGACAGGTCAGTGAAGTTTCCTTTGGGTGTACTTGAGGATGTACCCCTCAGAGTAGGTAAATTTTTCATTCCATGTGATTTTGTTGTGATGGAGATGGAAGAAGATGTGAATGTTCCGATCATACTTGGTAGACCTTTCCTAGCTACTGCAGGTGCAATCATAGACATGAAGAAAGGTAAGATCACTTTTGAAGTAGGTGATGAAAAGTTGGAATACTCACTTTTGAATGTCATGGGTGCTCCCTCTACGGGAGACACTATTTATCAGATAAGCCAACTTTCGCAACAGGTGAACCGCCTATTGACTCTTCAAGATCAAGCGAAGGTTCAGAAAGAACAATACAATGCTATCTTTCTTAGAAGAGATGAACTATTTCCGAAGCAAATTGTTGAGAAGGTGTGCATCAAGGAGCCTAGAAAGGACGTAATAAGCAAGGATGTTCAAGGCTCCAAATATGTAGCTCCACCGGCCAATGATGAACTGGTACCCTTCTCGCAACGGTTGTCAAAAACCGTGCTTGATGTGCATAACTCTACGTTTGATGGTGGTACCTGTTTGAGAATAGATGCTACTAACCCCCCGTTTGATAGGTATGTGTTTGACAGGAATTTCTTGAAAGGAAAGGATAAAGTTCCACCCGATGGCATGTTAGGCTATATGAAGGTGAATTCGATTATAAGGCAAGTGAATAAGCCGATGAAAGTGTCGCTTGGAGGAATTAATGAACCACATCGCGGTCCTCCTCCTCCGTGTAATGATCCCGGTTGAGCCAACAAGGGAGGTCGAGCTAAAGACCTTTTAAACAAGCGCTAAATGGGAGGCAACCCATTCTCGAGTTCTTACTCTTTTTTCGTTAATTTTTTTTCTTCTTTAATTTCATTATTTTTCTTGATTTTTTTTGTTTTGATTCTTGTGTCTAGCTTTTGTTTTGTTTGTAGTCTTTTTATATAGGTGAAAAGTAAGCAAAAAAAAGAAGAAACAAGGAGGAAAAGAGCCAAGAAGAAGAAAAATAAGGAGAATTTGCATTTCTGCAGAGGCACGTCCGTGCCTCCTCATAGGCACGTCCATGCCTCTGAGGCAAAAAGTTGGGGAGCTTAATTTCTGGAGATGCACGTCCGTGCCTCTGATCTTCGTGTAAAAAAAAAAACTGCATAAGCAGGCACGTCCGTGCCTCTGAGGCAGAATGTTTTGAAAACTTGATTTCTGAAGAGGCACGTCCGTGTCTCCTAGCAGGCACGTCCGTTCCCCCCCCCCCTCGAAATAGAGGCACAGGCTCCCTCACTCTTTCATTCACAATTTCTCCACTTTCAAACTCAAGAGCTTCTCTCTCCTCTCCTTTCACTCAAAATTTTCGGCCTTCCCCTCTTCAATCCATCACCCAAACTCACAAATTTTTACATAATCTTCAACATTCTCATCTTTCTACTTAATTCTCACACTCCATTATCAATAAAAATCATCCCAAACACAATTTTGCCCAATTTTCCAAGAAACCCTAGATTCAAAAATCAATTTGGGGATTTTTGATTTAAAGCTCTTTGGAGCAATTGGAAGGCAAGGAAGGGATTCAAGGGTGCTATATACATCAATTGTGGATCATTTGCGGGTATTTAACACCCACCATACCTTGGGTAACCCCTTTTCTCACACTTTCTCTCTCTAGGTTTTCATGAATAACTTGTTATAAATTGTTCATAAAAATTGTTAGAGATTGTTAATCGTGTTTGGTTTGTTCAATTTGTTTGGATATTTGTGATTATATGTTGGTGTAGTGTGATTGAAAAACTATTATTAATCTTGAAGCATTGTTGGAGTATTGTTGAATTATTGTGGACTTTTGTGAATTTGTGGTCGATTGATTGCTTGTTTGTGTTCTTGAATTGATATACATTGATTGTTAATTGAACTCATGGCATCCTCATCTCACCAAAGAAGAAATAGGCCTAGGAACACCTCTTCCAAAAGCCTTAGAACCCCACCCGTTCCACAACCTCCTCCCGTACCACTTGCCCATATTCCACCCATTGAGACTTTTGGGATCGATTTTAAGGGTAATGAAGAACACTTAAACAATTTTCTTCGCATTAGATCACGACCCTTAGTGCCTACACGATTTTTTGACCAAGAGGCTATGGAAAGCTTGGGTATGGGAGGTGAGGTTCAACGCATTCTTAGCCGTCTAGGATGGGATGGCTTCTTAGCCAAACATGCCAACACCTACTCCAATATCACCTACGAGTTCCTTTCTACCTTAGAAGTCCGTTTTAGACCGGACGGCCACACTCCTAGGGACGTTTCTTTCAACTTGTTTGGTGAACGTCACACCCTTACGGTGAGGGAGGTTAATGTCTTGTTAGGCTTCCCCACCTTCGGCCAAATAGGTAGGCCAAATTACAGTAGGTTGACTGGCTATAATGACCTTAACATGTGGCGGGATTTAACTGGGCTAGATGACTACGACCCTAGCCATTCGAAGACCTCATGTATAGTTCACCCGGCCATGAGACTTATATGCCGACTCTTTTCCTAGACCCTTTTTGCTAGATGTAACACAGGAGGAGTTTGCTCGGCCAAGGAACTCTATTTTCTATGGCATTTGCTTTGCCACCCCGACCCCACTGAGGCAGACGACATGATTAACCCTGGGGCATGGTTTTTAGATCACCTATATAATGTAGCCTTGGGGTCCGGGGAGATTGTTATAGGTGGTATGCTTTCTTTGTTGGTTGTTGGCTATGTGCAGGACTGGGCAGGTATCGACCAGTACAGGGTTGGAGGCCCCACCACGTTGAGCTTTCAGAGCTTCCAGCAGATGTGCTGGGTAAAGAGGCACCGCAACGCCCAAGGTTTTGTGTGGTTGGTCGGACGCCCCACTCTACCCCGACCGGTTCCTTATGCTTACCTCCCGAGGTTCGGGATCCCTCAGGTGGCCGGGAGGGATACATGGATTATCCCTCCTGACTTCATGTGGCCACCACATAACATCGAGGGAGTCCCACTGCCTATGGGGGAGGGAGTCCAGTTGCTTGGTGGTGAGGGGCATGCATATGGTGGTGAGAGACATGCGCACATGGAGCAGGATGCTCCACATCAGGAGACCCACGCCCCACCTACTTTGGAGGAGCAGATAGCCTCCATGAGGGCCGATCTCAACCATGTCGTGCTAGGCATGGGTGACTTGAGGAGGGACGTCAATGAGACCCAGAGAGCGGTCACAAATATGTCGATGTCCCATGATAGCATGGCGACCACCTTCGGCGACCTGCGAGATCAACTTGCCGCCTTCCAGGCTGAGTTCTATGATATAGGGGCATGATGAGACAACACTTCCAGGGCAGTTCTAGTACCGACTCGAGGTATGGTTTTCCCCCCACCCCTCCTAATCAGTAGTTTGTTTTTCCCTTCCCCTTGTTTATTTGCTTTGATTTGTGCATACATTGAGGACAATGTATGGTCTAGCTTGGGGGAGGATTTGCTTTTCACCTTGTATATATTAGATTTATTTCAGTTTTTGGGTAGTTTATTTCTTTCTAGTGTCGAATAATATGCCATTGCATGACTATGCTTCTATGATTATAATCACATATGTGTGCTTTTTGAAACAAAAAGAGTTTTTGAAAACCCATTCATTGATGTGCTTGGATTTGAGCTAGGTTGTGGCCAGGATGGTCTCCCTGCCCTACTTATGTGAATAGTTTGTGTACCCGGTGAGAGTCTTGAGCCTTATTTGACTGATTTCACTCTACCTCAGTCATGTTTCTTCTTGTGTGATTAGATTGTCCTACATATAATCGAATTCTTGGTCTTGCTTTTTGACTAATTGAGACTTTATGATGCATGTCGCGAAAAGATGATTGAAATTTCCTTGTAGAAATTAGAGCCTCCACATTTTAGGCCTTCATGTTTTTTCTTTCTGTTTTTATTTATTTTTATTTTACATTCACCCGTAGGTTGAACCAATTTGAGCCATATTAACCCCTTCTTGATACCCTACATTTAAAGCTTTAGAGCTATTTTTCTAGGTTTATTTTGAAGGTGTTTTACATTTGTTAAGCCCAATGAGTGTGAATGATGTTGAAAAAAACGAAAAGCTCGAAAAAAATGAAAAAAAAAGAAAGAAAAAAAAAAGAAAAGAAAAAAAGAGAAAAGAAGGGAGATTATGAGAAAAGAAAAAGAAAAAAAAAAAGAAGAAAATAAATATGGTCTTAAAGGCCCTTGAAAAAAATAGAGAAGTCTTCCATTTTATTTTTATTTAATCCCTTCCTCTTTGTATGAAAAGAAAAAAAAAACGCAAAAAGAAAAGAAAGAATAAAGGGCTATGTTTATAATTGTATGGAGTTGGAGGAAATAAGGTTGGATTGAACCCGACATTTGAATGTGTAGTGGGATTAGGATTTGTTTTATTTTGAGCACCACATTCCCAAAATACGTCGTCTAACCCTTATTTACCGAGCTTACCTAATATGGATTTCATGATTTTCGTGTTTGCATCACTCACTAAAAGTGGAGAAAGTCATATTGCAAGCCTAAAGAGGCCGGTTGTGTGAAGTTGATATGCATGCTATGCTTAGGTTGAGTGGCTTCATATTTCACCCCGTAAACACATGAGCGTTTATTGTTTTTATTTTCACAACTAAAGTGAGAGCTATTCATGTTTGTGTGAGTTGGTATGGGGAGATGTGTGGTAAGATTGGTTGTCAAGTCCAAGTATATGAGATGAATGGTGGTTTTTGTGCAAGTTGACTCTTGATTTCGTTTTTATTGTGTTTTTGAACTTGATGACACATTGTGATTGTTTGAGGAGTTGTCATTCTCCTCCCTTATGATTCATGGTTAAATGCTTGAGGACAAGCATTAGTCTAGCTTAGGGGAGTTTGATAAGTCGTGTTTTGTGCGTATTTATTAGCTTATTTTTTTGTTGGTTTTATTAGCTTAGTCGAGTGTTTTAGTCCATTTTG